GATGAGGAGCAGGAGGATCCCGCAGATTACTGTAAAGGTGAGTGCAGGTCACTGCTCTCAGGCTGAACACTGCCATGCCAGTCTGGTTCTGGTTCTTGAGGGATTTTTAAAGGGATGATCTTTAATTGCGGAATTTACTTGTACAACAATTAGGAACTGCTCATCGTTTCAGGTCCTAAAACAATTATGCATCAGGACCTGAAATGATGAGCTATTTATAATTGTCTTCAGCATTACTTTTTCACTTAGCCATAGCTTGTTTATGCATTTTTCAATAGATACACAAGTGTGGCATCCCTGTATTCTTCCTGATGTCCCAGTTGTAAGAATAGAGAATAAACTTCCCTTGATTCATGTGAGTTGTAAGAGAAACAAAAACACCCAAGCCAAGATAAGCAACTCATATCCAAAATGTTCCAAAATGCCTTGATGCTTTCAGGAGCAATTCCTAAATTTATTTTTAAACTGTATCCTTTATTTTTCCTTTCTTCTTTCACTTGCACTAGCCTAAGATGTTGCATGCTTCTTTTCCACATGGTGTCTTTCACAGCTCTCAGCATTGTCTGAGGCTCTCTACATCTTCATTTTAACTCAATTTCCTGAATTTTTGTATTGATTATATTCAGATTTTAAATATTGTTAAATGCATAAAAGCATGACTGCGGTACAACAGTGTCAATACTTAAATTTATTTTAATGTCACTGCTAAAGTTGCAAATCTGTTCCCATTAGGGTAGAGTGTACACTGTACTTAGATGAAAAATGATAAATAAAAGTTCTGTCAACTCTGGGTTACCTGTTATAGTAGATTTCAAGAATACATACATCAGAATTTTATCTCTTCAGATCAGTATTTTTGAATAGTCGAAAAGCACACTATGCACACTGACTGTATCTGGTATTCTGTATTCCTCATACCAAAACCCACTTCCTGTGTCAAATGTGATAATGCCTTCTAATCAGAAGTTTCTGTGTAGGTCTGGAAATGTGTTATTTCAAGGATTCCCCTTCCTAGCCTGGAAAAGTGTTTTGTATTTACGTATTTAACAATGGAAAGTGACTATTTCATTTTGGTGTAAGAAGTTTCATTAATATATTGTATTTCAAATGTGTATGTGGCTTACAAATGCTAATAGTGAAAGCCAAACAAACTCAAACTAGATGTCAACATCTGCAGGAGGGAAGAGAAAAGCATGTCACTGAACCATGCTCAAGTATTTTGTTGTTTTTTTTTTTGTGTTAAAACACATTTGTTGCGTAAGATAACTCTTTTGGTGTCTTTAACGTGTTCCATCAGTGAATAAGGGTTTGTTTTAACATCTGTGTACTCATAAACATCTGTATTTCCTTGAGATTAAGCATTTCAAAGCTCTGACTTTATTCTTTCCTGAAGTAAAGGCTGCATTAGTTTCAAACAATTCATTGTTGTCTGTTTTCCAGTATCCCTTGCAAAAATGTCACCATCTGCAGAAGCTAGGTCACAAAACAAAAAAATAGTCTAAGTAGAGAGCCTGCTTATGAGTTACCTGTTTTACTAGAGCAGGTCAGTAGTGAGGTCTGTATACTTCTGAAATAAACTACATTACACTAAAGATAGTTGTAGGCTTCCTAAAAAATTAAAGGGAACTTCTGTATGCACAAAGGTTCCTCTGAATTCTTGTGATCCTGAGGCTTTGAATTTTTTAAAGTACATTAAAGATGGTTCAGGCTTTGGTTCATTTGGATGTCATGATCATTACTTGTTTCTATCTATGAAACTTGTCTCTATCTATGTTATCTATGAGAGCAGGGCTTTTGTTGCTTCAGTAGAGGATTTGCTTATTTTCTGACCCTAATTTCCTGTAAGACTGAGCAGTGCATTTCCTTCTTTCAGTCTGCTGGCATGCAACTGGAGAGAGGGTCTCCGTAAGAATCTGAATGCCATGACCACATGGGGATTTGTTTATGTATTTTATGTTCTGTATAGGGAATGAGCAAGTTATTTTGTAAAGAACTCCCAAATGGCTTTTAGATGCATTTTCCATTTTTTGGAGAGATGTGTTATTAGTTTGAGTATCTTTTTCTGTTTTGGGTAGCGAGGGGAAGATAAAGATTTGGAAATTACCATTTATTGCTGGAGTGTCTCTTTTATTTCTAAATTTGTCTTCAAAATGGCAGTCTTCCAGGGTTTTTGACTGAGGCCCAGAGCATACTTCATCTCTTCTCAGCCCCAGTCTGAATTTTTATAGGAGGGGAATTTTGATAATGAGTATATAATTATTTTTTTTCAGGAATTCAGCATATGGCCTGTTAGCTGTACTTCCTGTAGAGTATTTTTGTTTTTATTTTTATTTTATTTTACTTTTATTTTTAAGGGTATGTTACTGTGTGCTGGGCTTGCATCTTGACCACATTACATGGTGATTAGTAAATAGTCATAGTAGTGTTTTTTAATGAGGGAATTGGATCAGTTTGTATTAGCACCTGATGTGAAAGAGACTGACTAGCAGCCATCTGTGAAAAGCAGACTGACTTCCGTTCCCTGGGGGCTTCCTCCAGGGCCTGTTTGAGTCTGTGACATTACTTCTGCTTGTGTTACTGAATTTGCATGAAATGCTTTTCAAATATTTATTTGAGGAATGGAAATATCAATCGTCCAACTGCATGGTTTTTTGGGGGGGTACTTTGTAAAACTACTTTTTCTTCTCTGAAAAGCCTTGAAACACTTGGTGATTTTTTTTTTTTTTTGCAAGAGTCTGTTGTGTCATGGATGTAATTGGAATTTTTTGCTTCTCTGATCATCTTCTCTGCCCCCTGGAGATGTCTCCCATTCATCCAGTTCACAAAGGGAATAATTCCCTATACAAACATAGAATGAGCCAGCTACAATTACCAATACATTCAGGAGACATTCAGGAATAATGACCTCATTTTTCTGACCCTCCTTCTTGCATGCATGTAGCTAGCTAGCTGTGAGAGACACTTTTTTCTTCTGTGTGTGCTGCAGTACAACAGGGTGGGTTTTTTTATGTTAATTTATCAGCAGTGCCACTTATACGTTGCATATTTTCAAATGCCAGTATTGTTTTTCCAAAAGCACATAATTTTTATCACTTGTTGATTTTGCATAGATGCTTTCTTGTTACTAATACTTAGAAATACTTTCGGTATCATGGAGAACTTAAATTGTTACATTCATCTTAGGATGGCACCAATTTTTAATATACATATAACTTAAGTGGATTGTTACCTGGTTGTCCACAGCCTGTAAATGCGTATGTTGCTGATAGGAATAATCAGAGAGTAACATGTACAGGAATGGTAACAGATTATTTCCAAAACTGCTCCTGCTGTGACTTTGGACAGTGGAAAGTATCTTGTGAAATGTATACACTCATGTGCTATGTGTGCTCCCATGGTTGGCATCTGTCACATATGCTGGTGTATTGTTATAATTAGTTATGACACTGGTGTAGGGATCAAAACAACATGGTTTTACATATATAGTATTGTTGTGCTACCAACATGTAGAGTTTACTAAAATAACTTATCAAGCCTCAATTTATTAACTTTGGTGTCTTTGTCTGATTTCCTCTCTGTGCTGTTTCCTTTTCTGTGTCTGATGGGAAGGCACCATCACAAGTTTTTGATTATTTTTGACCCTTTGAAGTACAAGTATGCCAAAAGCTATGTGTAGAGTCAGACTTAAAAGGCTCTTGTTTGCCTAAACTATTCCTAGGAACATATTTTTATCTGTGATGGTTTATCTATGTGGAAGTCTCATATAAATTTTGCAGGTCATCAGATTTGATTGCATACCTTTTCAGTAATGGAAAGGTAGAATTCCTGTATGTTCTCTTAACTTTCCTGTTGCATCTATGACTTCATCATCCTGCATAGAATTTTGTGGGGAAAAAAATTACCAAGTAATTAGAATTTTGTTTGTTTGTATTAAACCACTCGATAGCTGTCTTAAATAATGGTTACATTTATCCAGATTGTTAAATATCTCCATCAGCTGTTACTAGAAGGATGCTTAAATAGACAAAATCAAATTTAGTTTGGTTTCCAATTTTTGTATCAGTGCCAATTCATGTATTTGTGTTTATTCAGCAAAATTTCTGTAATAGTGAAGCTGCAGTAGACTCGGGCTTCATCTGTGGCTGGTGCTGTTTCTGTTTGCAGAGGGGCAGTATAATATTCAGCCCTTACTCTCAGTAAGTCCAGGTCCCCCCTTCTCTACTGGAGGGTAAATCCAGTCAGGTGTTCCAAAAGTGATCTGGGTTTTGATTTGGAAATAAGGAATTCCCACTAGCCAGTGTGGGCATCCTTACTGAGGGTGGCACAGCTCAGCAGTGGGAGTGAAAATATCATTTTGCTGGGCTGGATGGGTTGTCCTGGCAGCTTCCATGAGCATTTCCTTCCTAGTGATGGGAGGGCTGGGGAGGTCTGCCCCAAGGGAAGGGTCAGCTTTTGGGGAAGCTGTGTCTGCTGCTTGCTAAGCCTGCAGTTACAGCTCAGCACACATTTATCAAAGCTGTGTGTGTTGTGGAGTTTGTTAGGCACACCAGCATCTAACACCATGTGCCATTTAAGCTTTATCCTTCTCCTGAGTATGTAATCGTTATAATTCTGTAGCACAGTTGTGTTAAATTTATTATTCTGCTCTGGCAGCATAGGAGAGTTCATAAAAGAACTGTTGAACTTCTGTTAAGGCAGAGGATGTTATTAGCAAAAAGAGAACAAAAATATATCCAGATTTGACATCACTGTTCCCACAGATAAAAGGAGATAAGAGAGAAATTTCTGTTTTAAATTCAAGGAATTAAGTTATAAATTCACATTGTTGTCTTTACCAGTTCTAACAGGATTTTCAGGGGATTCAAAACAGATCCAGAAATTTCGAGAAAGTAGTTGGAGGTTTTCCTGATTCTAAATGGATTGGTCAGTGACTGAGGATCCTGCCAAAGGACACTTGGGCATGACATTGTGAAGGACCAGAAAGAGATAAATAAGTGGTTCCTTGAAAGCTGCTCTGAGTCTGCTGCTGGTGTCCTGGAGGGTTGCATGGTGCAGCTTTATTATTTGTTTGCAATTTAGGCAAAATTATGGATGTTTTTGTTGGTGTGTTAAGGTCTGAATAAATTCCTGTGTGTTCATTGTCTTCCCTGTGTTTTAACTGAGAGTAAGAATATCTCCCAAAATACAAAGGAAATAAAAGGCTTCATTACAGCTCTAGAAACCTGAGCTCCAGCTTGCTCTGTCCTGTTGGCCTTTCTGCCTCATGGGGCTGTGGAGAACCTGGGTAGTGGTTTAAATTTGGACTGCAGACTTCAGTAATGGAAAAGCAGTTCAGACACAGCCCAGAGCTGCCTGCTTTCTCCTCTTCCTTCTCGCTGTAAAACCCTCAGATGTCAGAAAAATGCATTGCTGCTGTGGATCAGGAGCCAAGTAGAAGAGCATTAGGGAAGTCTGCATTGTTCTTAACATTTTCTCAGGAAGTATTTTATTGCTGCTTTTATTACTCGAAAGCAAATGGGAATTAAAACAATCTCTGTTGAAATTCTGCAATCATCCAAAATATGTTGACTGGAGAGGCTTCAAATATGATAAAGAAATAATGTAGATATTTTCTCTACTGTCTGTGAAGTGAAAGATAAGCCTGAGGAAATAGAGAACAGATGGTTATATTACCATAAATAAAAGCCATAAGAGAGAAGGGTGAATAAACTCTACAGTAGTTACAGGACATGAGTTTTTTCCCTCCAGGCCAAGCAAGGCAGAATTTTTACCATTGGAGTTTTCTTTATATTTCCTATTTATAGTACAGGACAATTTGAAGTGGAAAATGTATACTACAAGAAAATTACTTGAAAACCTGGAAATTCTTGTTTATTTTCTAAATACTCTTTTTTCTACTTGTTTTTTCATGAAAGGAGGCTATCATCCAGTGAAAATTGGTGACCTTTTCAATGGCCGGTATCATGTCATTAGAAAGTTAGGATGGGGACACTTCTCTACAGTCTGGCTATGCTGGGATATGCAGTAAGAAAACTAATTTTTTTCCACATACTTAAACGTTTTTCTTAATACATTTCTTTATTTTGTTTGCAGTTACTTCTGTTTTATGTGCATGATAAAGTTATGTAAATGTTTGCTATCTTTTTGTGCAAAAATATGCCTACAGTCTTATTTTTCTCTTGATTAACAGTGTAGTTTATAAAAGCTCTCAGAAATAAATGTAATTCTATTTTCTTTGACAAATTAGCTTTGCTTATTGAATTTCTATGTTGTCTTGAGCATGCAAGAATACACATATTTTTATTTCTTTTGTATCTTTAATGAAAAAATGTAGTTACCTTCATTAAATGATAAAATGTGTAAGCAGATTCCTCTTGTAGAGACATTAGCCTCAAGGAGACTAAAATATCAATAATTACACTGTTAACACAGTGTTGTTAAAAATTGTTGTTTAGTGTAATTTCAGCATTTTCTGTACAAATGCATTAGACTATGAAATAGTCTATTTAAAATTTCCCAGCCTTTAAATATGTTTGTTTTAGCTCAATGTACATGTTGAAAATGTTTCTCTTCTTTTCAAGGGGAAAAAGGTTTGTTGCAATGAAAGTTGTAAAAAGTGCCCAGCATTATACGGAGACAGCCTTGGATGAAATAAAGTTACTCAAATGTGTAAGTATCACTATTGCAATAGAGTGTTCAATAACAATAATAAAAGTAATAGTGAATTAAAAAAAACACAGAGAATTGATTTTTAGGCTCTTGAGTTTTTTTACATATTGTTCTCTAAACATCAGGCTTATTATGAATTGATATGTTTTCTGAAGCTCCAAAATGCATAAGTTTGTGTGGAAATCTAACTAATGAGTATTTTACAGTGGATTTTTTCCTAAAATGTCAGTGTTTGCATTCTTGGTTTAGGTTCGTGAAAGTGACCCTAATGATCCCAACAAGGATATGGTTGTACAGCTCATTGATGACTTCAAAATTTCTGGAATGAATGGAATTCGTATCCTTTTGAGAACATGGCATTCTCATTAAAATATTCTACTGGAATGAGTAAGCATTTAGTGCTGGCTTTTTTCTAGTTCATCTTGCTTTAAATATACAAAGTACAAACTCCAAAATGTATGTAGATGCCAAGAGAAGTGCAGTGTGGAAGGCACTCTATGGAGTGAAAGTAATTTAGCTTTTGTAAACACAATCCAGAATTAAAAAAGAAGTCTTATATATCCTTTCATGGTCTGGTAGAAGTAGAGATAGATTGCTTAAAAAATGGAGTTTACTGAAAACATTTGTAATTACTGAAGCTTCCAAGAAATATTTTTTTTGTTCTAGACTGGTAAGGAGAAATTGTCAGTGTCATGAAAAAGCTGGTTCCTGTTTTCTTGTGAGAAGTGTGAGGTCATGGAGATGCTTCTCTTGTTCATGTAATCATCTCTTGGCCAGGTGTTAGCCTTGTTTTTGGCAAAGGTTGTAAGGCTTTGTCTTTGAAAGCTTTCTTTAAAAAAACAAAACAGGGGTGGTGGAAAAAGAGAGAGATAAAGTAAAATACAACTGAGTAATTCTCGGTGTGAATTTTGGGTCTGTGAATAAATTTAATTTTAGAGTCAAGCTAAACTGAGTTCTCCTTACTGATTATATTAGGTTGTTTAGTGGCTTATTATATTACTGTGCTTTCATTTACTGTTACAGCTGGACTTATGTGTGTGCATGTTGTGTTTGGAGCCCAGTAGCTGACCTCATTGTTCATGGGTCCCATTGCTAGAGAGAGAGTTCCTGCTCTGGAGAGCCTGATTAGACATTGATTTTGGTGCTGTGCCTTCAGCTGATCAGATTAAGGCAGCTTTCACCAACTGCCATCTCCTAGGAGAGGAGTGTCGAAGGTGACTGTCAGTAAATCTGAGTGCTCACTAGAAAGCGTGTGAGTGTGCAAGCAGCTTTCATCCCACTGATCTGTCTCTTGGCATTGCTTATGGAGCCTTTGGGTATGTGGTGAGAATGAGAGTGTGGGGTCAGGTGTTCTCAGTTACAGACTGGTGTCTAATCTCCTTTACCTGTCCCCATTTTTATTTGTTTTCAGCTGACTGTAGTACAGTTGAAGAATAATTATTTGTAGAAACCAAGAATTTTGATTTACTGTTTTATTGTAAAACACTAATATGAAATAAGGAGTACAATAAAGCATTTATAGCTATATATAGAAGTAACTCTTATCTCTTTATCAGAGCAATTTCCCAGTAATGTTCTTAAATTCTTGATAAGATTCACATGTATACCACTGTATTAAAGGTGAGGGCTGTTTCTAGGTGTGAAAAGTAAATTTTGTTTGTGATAATACTTTGAAATCATATCCAAGCTTATATCTTATTGCACTATAGCACTTAGACTGAGAAGGCCAAAAGAGACGATGTGCCAGTGAAAAACAAGGGGTCAGATAACTTTGTATTGGCAGATTAAAACTGGACAGCTGATGTTGATTTATTCTATTTCAGTTTTGCCTTCACGTTGAAAACTGGTGGTACAGAAATTTTTATGTAGAAGGCAGATGTTCCTGCCTTACTGAAAAGTACATTTTCCAGAAAAGTACCAGTGTACAGGATGGACTGATGCTGGACTCACATTTAAATTGCATCTGGAAGTCTGTCAAAGTCCTGACTGCCAGCAAAAATATGATACCAAGTATCTTATGCATTGAGTTTTCCTGAGAACAGCTTGTGCATCCTGAGTTATTTGAGCAGTGGTTGGTTGCATTATTTCATCAGCTCCTTTTTAAGTTCTAGGGAAAATAATCTTTGGTGTAGGTTCTCTTAGGATGGAGCAGGTAATTGATTTTAATGTTTTGGTGCTGTTTACTTTTTTAAATGCCATATGAGTGCTACATTAGTATCACTGAGTTTTACTGAGTTGCACAGGTTGAGAGAAATAGAGTAATTTGATACCTTTTCCATGCTCTGCTGTTTCCAGCTTCCTTTGGGCAACTCTCTAAATATCTGTTGCTTGGCTATAAAATAAAACCACATATGTTTCATAGAAGTTTGATTATTGGTTATGAAATGCACTTAAAAGCTAAAACAAGACAGAAGAGAGGTGGGTGAATCCTTTGGATGGCTAATACCATAAAATGTCATGGAGCTTCCAAACAGGGAAGATTGTCAAGAACCATGTAGAACAGAGCTGGGATTGTGCAGAGCCATTGGCCTGCACTGTGTGACTGCAAACTGTCCTCTCTCTCCTAGGAGCTGCAGTAAGTGCTTATGTACAGAGGAATTTTAATAATGTGGGATGCTGCACTAGGCTGGTAATTTTTTACCTACTTGTTTATTTTTGAAAGGTTGCAATTATGACTTTTTCATTAAATAACAGAATTCGTGATCTTAGGCACTTTGGTGTTTTCAATAAGTGTGAATTATTATGTTTGTTTGCAGTGGACATTTATGAGAGCTGCAATGTTCATTTCAGTGTAGCATTTTTTTAATGAAAGATTCAGATAATCATATTATGGAACAAGTTTTGAGAGACAAGTGGAAAATATAAAGAAGGAAGCATTCCCACACAATCAGACATTATGTCTGATGATATGAGTGTTTGTAATAAATGTATCTCCAAAGAATATAGATTATTATGTCATTGTGTCTAAATGCTGCCAATCCAGAAGCAACTGAGAAGCATCCTGAAGTTTTCTATGCTGGTACTAGAGCTTAACTAGCCTTTATCCTTTGTCATATTTCTAAATGCTTAAGTAATGTGTATTTATAGATAGATAGATAGTTACAGGTAGGATTTGAGTCAAGAAAGAACAGCTCCCAGTACTTGTCAGCTGATTAATGTTAGATTTACTCTCACTTTTGCTGCTGTGCTTGGTTTCGTCCTGTGAGCCATCCCCTGTGCTGCTTTGAAGAGCATTTCACAGAAAGCATGTCTCCTACGTGGGCTTCAGGGTTTTTTTGCTGCAGGAGTTTTTGGACCTTCTCACCAATCAGGTTATTGGTGCTGTAGGAGGATCCTGGGACTTGCAAGGCTGCTTTCCTAGTAGTTAATGCAGGGCTTTTCCCAAACTCCTTGTTCTGGGCAGTCTGGCTTAAGGTTAATGTTTTTCAGATCAGGGTAGTAAATCAGACAGCAGGCACATTTCTGCGTACCTGCTCCCAACACTGAGCCTGCTCTGTATCTTCTCTCCCTTCCAGTTGTCTCTCCAGTATGGAGTGTCCCTTGAGTTTGTCCAAGTCCTGCCTGCAGAATGTTGCAATCTCTTTTTTTCAGGTAGACATCACTTTCTGATGACCTTCCGTCTTCCTGCCTGCCTCTGCCATTCCTCTTACATCTTCCTTCTTGGCACTCTCCCTTGCCTCTCAGCTGTTTACTTCCCTACGTCCCATTCTCTTCGGGTTACTGGCAATGCTTAACATTTCTGTAAGTGCAAGGAATGTCAGGAATGTGCATTGGAGAGTGCAGCAGCATGGTCTGAAGGACTGTGGGTGGGTGTCCTATATTTCATTTCTGAATGTTGCAGTGTCCTTTTTGCAATCTGTGCTGCTGTAACTTTGCAGCTTGACTGTGTGGGCTCAGTTAATAAGCCCTGCAGAGCTCGTGCACTCTGCTCATCCTCTGTGATGACTGTGTGCTCTACAGGGGCTTGTGTTCATTGTGGGGTAAAATACCCAAGGCTGCTTCCTCTCCTGAATGGGATGGAGTTCTGAGCTCACCCAGCTGATGTGAGTGGGGAAGGACTATTCAGTGTCTCCTCTAAAACAGGAATTCAGGAATGTGAAATGAGATTAACTGTTGGCAACAGTTGTGTTAGTGCGCTTTGACCAGTCTTGAGACCTTTTACTATTGGTGTAACTTCAGTATAGAGGATGCAGATGTTAAAACTTGAGTTTTAACATTACCTTTATGTATATAGGTAGGTACTTGAGGAGAATGTGTGTGACAAACTGACAGACAAGGTAAGTCTCATTTTAACACAAGACAGTGACTATTAAGATAATTGCCAAGACTCTAGTTAATAAAACTTAAAGAAGTTAGGTAAGATTTCTAACAGTGTAGAAGTGGTCTTCTGTATGAATGGTCTCTGACATAGTCTAATTCATCGAGATTTTCCTGCAATATCCATCAATTAATTTTTGGTTATTTGTACTGCATTGTATTGCAAAGAACTGCATTGTTCTTTGCAAGGTTATAGTATCATGTAGTTGAGATTTTAACATGTTTTCTGATTTCCAGATACATTAAGGTCATTCTCAGCTCATGTTTGAGGATTAATTGGATGTAGTCTAATTGTATAACTTGCCAGAATGTTGTGATGGCAAAACTTTAAATTAGCTTCAGTACTTGAAGATTTTCTCAATAGAAAGATAACCTACCCAGGCATGTGGGTGTAGAATCTCTTAACTTAGAAAGCCCTTGAAGCAGAAATCACAGAAGTTCCTACATCATGTTTTTTCCTAATAATCTCCCCTGATAATTGACTGTTTGCCTCTGTCAGGAGCCAGTAGTAAACGCTGTGTCTAATTAAATATTTTTGGCATTGTGTTTTTTGCATGTTGTTTCTGAGTTCTGCATTTCTTTGTTTGAGAGTTCTTTGGTGATTGCCATTATTCTCTGCAGTTAAAACTGTGGGCTTTAAGAGATCCATCCTTATACTATGTTAGTATTTGTTGTTAAGTGACTATTCAGCTTAATAAAAAAACGGTTATTATGGTTCATTTTCTAAAGCACGGTTGCTGCACACTTTTGTTATTAAAACCTTCTATTAATATAATTTAAAATTTATTAAAGAAATAGAGATCATAGGCCAAATCAGTACTTTCAGCCGTCTCAAAGAAAAGAAAAATTAGTTAGTTACTTTTTACAATTACTTTCTTAATTATTCACCCTAATGATGTAGTTAACATGTAGAAGTAATGGACAAGATTTGTGTAATTAAAATGTTTTATTTTAATTCACAGTTGGACACTGGTTCTGTATGGGTTTATATATAATTGAAACAAGGTACCAAAGCATTTACCATGCTCATTTTAGGGAGAGTAATTTTCCCTCTAAAGGGAATGATAACTCCTTTAGCCAGAACACAGGCAAACTTGATCTCATGAACAAGTTTATTTGGAAGTTATCCTTAATTAAATTGCAGATGTCTGCATGGTCTTTGAAGTACTTGGACATCATCTTCTAAAATGGATAATCAAGTCCAATTATCAAGGCCTTCCCATCCGTTGTGTTAAAAGCATAATTCGACAGGTAAGTTTAGTTAATACTCTAATCAGGTTTTTCCACAATTGTTAACAGTTTGAAGGTTTGAATTACAATATTTGAACTGAACTCTCACTACTATCTGAGATAATTTTATTTTAATCTCAGTGGGGTGAGATTGCACTGGTGTTACTGTGCATCAAGCAATTTTGCTTCATAAGCTTCTGTAATTCCATGCTGCAGTGAAAAATTACGTGTTTATGCTACTACTTGGTAATACATTTTTTCCAATTTCTGGGTACTTTTGAGCAATGTGATAAAATCAGCCTTATTTTAAAATGCAGTTGAAAGTTGAGTTTCTTAATTAATTTAGTTGCAGTTTGAAGCAGATTTTTAAAAAATCCCTCTGTGATTAGGTCCTTCAGGGTCTAGATTACCTGCACAGCAAGTGCAAGATCATCCACACGGACATAAAGCCCGAGAACATCCTGATGTGCGTGGACGACGCCTACGTGCGCAGGATGGCGGCTGAGGCCACCGAGTGGCAGAAGGCTGGGGCTCCTCCCCCCTCTGGCTCTGCAGGTATGAGCAGCACGTTCAAATGCAGTGTGGGAAACTGCCAGCAGTACAGTGTTGCTAGCAGTATTGTGTCCAGTGAGAATTCACATTTTAAATAATTGCATGTGACAAATGCATGTCTGTTTAGTTTTTATCCCTGCTCTGGAAGCTGTCAGAGTAATGATTTTGTGCTGGTTTTGCATGTTCAAGTTTTTAGGATCCCCAGAAACAGAAAAAGATTTATTGGTGTAAACTTATTCCCCTTCCATCCCACAACCCTTACTGCCTGGGTTTTAGTCACATTGGAAGCTTACATCTCTAATATTGACAACAGTTACTAATCTTACCTAAATTATGTCTAGTTCTAAGTTCACCACCATCCTTGTGAAATCATCTGCCTTTTTGTTTGTTGTAACTTACTTTTAAGAATCATTGAAAAGTTTTACATTCATAGTTTTTCACCCTTAAAAGTGGAATTTATTGTACCTAACTGAACTCGTGATAAGCCCATTTTCCTAGGGGTATAAAATGTTTTATCTTAAGCTTGCCAAGAGTTTTGACAGCAGCTGTACCTTATGTTTAGCTAGGAGTAGCCAAGGTAAAAAAGTTCACAGCAATTAGCAAAGACAAAGAGGAAGTGTGGCTTTTCTAGTAATTTTCTTTTTAGTACTATGTACTATATATTTTTAGTACTGTGATTGCTACTAATTTGCCAATTGAGCACATCAGCTACAGGCAGTGGAAAAGTAATTCCCTTTGTAATATTGTCAGAAAATATATCACAGATTAAAATCTGTGAGGTATGCTAAAAATATTTTCTGTATTGGGAGCAAATACAGTGATCAGGATCCAGTTCACTGGATTAGCATTGTATATTTTTAGTTGAAAAGTTGTATAAATGGTAAATGTTTTATATTGAATTTGTCATAATGTATAATCACATAGCTAGAGATTTTATGTTATTTATGTGGGAAATAAGTTGTTTTTATTCATGCAGCCTTTATATTGCTTCCTGACATTAAAATAAGTATTATTTTAAGGAATGATGTTCTTATCACGCTTGGTTCTTAGCAAATTGTAATTAAATATATGGCTTTCCACACAGGAGCTGAGCATGTGTTGCCTTTACAGCAAGACATAGAATAGGTTGTGTATAATTTCTCTTTTTATAACAATGATAGTGCTCAGGTTTAAGAATCTTTTTGAAAACCTTGCCCTTTCAGGGGCATTCGAGCAGGTTTTTCCCTGAGCTTAGCAGCAGGATCTGAACCTATAAAACAGCTCTGTTGTTTTTTTTGGGTATTCCTTAATTGCCATAGGCCTGTGTGTCTGAAGAAGTTTGTGAGAGGTTCTCCCCTGTTCATTCCTCTTGCTTCTGTCTCCTGGTTTTGGATATTTCTGTTGGTTTTGATCACAGGGCAGGTTTAATGTGCCTTGTGGTGCTCTGTGAGTGTGCCAGCACTGCAGTCCCATCAGAGGCAGTCCCTGCTGGGATCCTGCTCAGAGGGGCCCGTGCTGGAGCTGCTTTCTGTGATACGCTGTGGTTTTTGCCTTGGGCACTTCTTCATGCCTCCAGCCTAGCAATCAAACTGCCTCGTTGCAGAGTAAGACACACGAGTGTTTGGCTTTTCTGTTGGGTACAACACAGTAGTTGTATTTTTGCTAATATTCCCTGAACTGTTTGAACCAGTCTATACCTGCTCTGCCATTCCATGATTTCTGTCCACTCTTAATGGTTCAGCCTTTTTTTAATTTTTTTTTTTAAGTTTCATAAGCTGTCTGCCAAGCACAGCACAGTGAGCACAGATAGCTGCTAGCTCCTTTCAATCCCAGGTGCTCTAATGGAGACATCAAATGATTTCAGGCAGCATGTACTTGTAAAGAGTAAAAAATCTGGCTAACAAAGCATACTTAACACTGTCTTATTTAGTTAAGAATATTTTAAAATTATTTCTACTTGTTTTTGCTTATAAAAAGCTGTTTTTGAAAAAGAAAACCTTTTTTTTATTTACAATTTATTTTTTGTCTTTTTAGTGAGTACAGCTCCACAACAAAAGCCTGTAAGTATTGTTATATAATACAATTTAACTGCCTTATTTTCTGTGTTTCTCTGGCTTTTAATATGTATTAGACTGTTAGTAACTTCAACCCTTTTTAAGAGCTTCCTTTGAATAAAGCTTTTATCTTTCAAAGAACATTTTGCTTTTCATGTCTGTGGCCTTACCAGTTTTAAACACGGTATTTCTGTGATGGAAATTCTCACAGACATTCAGTTCTATAGCTATGTCAAACTAAGTTAGGCATTGCTGTTTTCTTCTCTTGAGGAATAACCCATTTGTCCAAATCCTGACAGAAATGGGAGAATGCACTAAATATTGTGCATTGCAGATATCTTAAGGGCATAAAGGCCTTAATCATCAAGGCCTGAAAGTTGAGGCAATTTTCTGAGGTTTGAAAGATCTCTTTGCCACATGCATATAGGAAATAACCAGTGGTAATACAGCTGTTCAGAAATATCTGTGGTCAAAGCTGCTTTCTGTGTGTACAGAACATGTATAATTTCAGTGGGTATACAACATGGATGAAAATTATTAGGGTTGTGAAATTTAATGTCTTGTTTAGGTAATCCCATGGCTTTTTATGAAAATAACGGGATTAACAAATAAAGCTTTGAGGAAATGTTTTTCTTTTTCCTTGTACTTTATTTTTTGATTATATGAGGATTTCTTATTGTGATATTTAAACAATGAATGAAAAATGGATAGATCTCATTTATCAGATGGTAGAAATAGAAGCCACAATTCTGTTAAAATGTATTCACTTTTCATTTCCTTGTTGTTGTACCTGAGTTTTTCAATCCTTATGTTATATAAAATGAGAAACTTCATAATGGCCATCTGCTGTTTGTAATTCATATGTTTTGGGCCAGAAGAGAGTAATAAAAATGCAGTCCTTTCACTAGAAAATAGCTGAAAAAACCCTAGGTTTTACTTAGAATTCACTGTTTTCAGTCTCTTTAGTTTTCTTGTGTCTTTTTGCTCAGAATACTTTTGCTGGTTATTAACTGCATTGTACAGAGAGAGAAATAAGGCATTGAATTTCTATGTAAACAGCTAATATGATACCTGATTATTTTCCACATACAGAATCATCTGTTAATCTGGATTTAAGTTTAAGATTATTGTGTTTATCAAGATTATGGGATCATAAGAATTTTATTATGACATCTTAGATGTATAAATGTATTTTGCTCTTGTATCTAATAATGACCATTAGATTAAAAACATGATTAATTGTGTAAAGTTTCAGTGGATTTTTGCCTCATACAATCCTGTATCATTCTTGATTTGAAGTAAACTGTAAAAAGTAATATAAATACTAAATTAGTTGCCATCTAGTATTTTCAAAAAAATGGTATTTAAACTGTAAATTAGTTTGATGTGAGATGCCTTGAAAATAAATAATTACTTTTTCTTTCTTCGGTATTAATGTTTCAGGTTGGAAAAATATCCAAAAACAAAAAGAAAAAACTGAAGAAAAAGCAGAAGAGGCAAGCTGAGCTGCTGGAAAAACGCCTGCAGGAAATAGAAGAACTGGAGCGGGAAGCTGAAAGGAAAAAAATAGAAGAAAATGTAACCTCAGCTGTACCATCAAATGAACAAGAGGATGAGTACCACCCAGAGGTGAAACTAAAAACAGCTGATATAGAAGAGGTAGTAGATGAAGAACCTGGAAATGATGATGGTCAGTATTACTTGTTTTTATTGCCCCTGATTTTACTGTTTCAGAGCAGAAAGTAACCGTGCTGTGTTGTATCTGGTGCAGTGAACAAAATCTCCAATCATTAAGTTCATTTTCTCCTGTAGGTAAAATTGTAACTACAAAACCTAAAAAAGTAAAGAAAAATCAAACTTGCTGCAGCATTGAAGAAAGGCATCAATAGCAGTGTATAGCTATAAACAATTCAAAAAAGCACAGAACAGTCACCATGCCACATGGAGTGGAATAACTGAGTGTCCTGGTGAAATAGAAGAAGAATAAGATGCATTTTTCTATAATATTATTGTTGTAGTTGGAGTCATCATTGCTTCCCCTTTTTCTTCTTACAGTGTTTGTTGTAGTGATCTGTCAGGTAACAGAGATTACAACTTCTTCACTAAAATTGATATGTCTTGTTAAAATTCCTGTTCAGCCCTGGTGACTTGGACCATATAATCGTTATGGTCCAGCTCCGTTCTGGCTTCCCTGATTTTCTTGTCAGCTCTTCAGTCCTGATAAAGATGTAACTACTGAGACTGTAGTTCAGCTTGGTTTGTTTTAGTTCTGCTTTTATTAAGAGTTTTCCTGCTTCTGTGATGACTCCATTGACATAGGTTGATTTCTAGATTTTTAAAAGCTTGGATTCAAGGCCTGATTCATCTTCCCTTCATAACATCATTCTCTTCTGGATTATTCCCTCCTGAAGCCCTTCCTATTTTTTATTTTTCCAACAGTATTACTAGTCCATCCTTTTATCTTTAATTTAGATTTGAAGCTTTGCATATTTCAGTGATATTCAGTGTTTCCTTGTGTGATATGTCATAAGTCAGGTAGTTACTGAAGAGTTAAAAATGACGAATGCCTAATTTTAGTCTGGTTTGTTGATGTGTGATGTAATGTGTTGCTTGCTGAAATTTTTCAGGTGAAGCAGAAGATCAGGATGAAAAAGAAGACACAGAGAAGGAAAACACTGAAAAGGATGATGATGTTGAGCAGGAGCTTGTCAACACTGACTCTACAGACCCTAAGTGGATAGAATCCCCCAAAACAAACGGCCATATTGTGAACGGCCCATTCCTATTGGAACAACAGATTGAAGATGAGGAAGAAGAAGAGGAAGAATGTCCAAATCCAGAGGAGTATAATCTTGATGATCCAAATGCAAAAAGTGATTACTCTTATAGCAGCTCCTACGAACAGTTTAATGGTGAATTGCCAAATGGACGTCATAAAATTCCAGAGTCCCAATTCTCGGAATTTTCAGCGTCGGTGTTCTCTGGGGCTCTGGAGTCTGTAGCCTGTGGTTCTGCTGTGTCTGAAGGATCCACTGTAACTGAAAGGGAGGAGAGCAGCCCATCTCATGACAGGAGCAGGACGGTTTCAGCTTCCAGCACTGGGGATTTGCCAAAAAGTAAGTGTTCCTCGTAATGGCTTTTGTCTTGTAGCATGGGGGTGTATTGTATTAAATAAAAGAGGCAGGTAAATGGAATGCAAAGGCAGTGGTTAGGTTAAGAAAAGATGGTTTAAGTGAATTGGATGGTTTTTCTTGCAGAACTGTGATTTATGGGTTATTTTCCAGTCTAGAACTTGCTTTGAAGGGGTATTAGATAAACAAATGATTGTAGAATAAACATTTGTAGAATAAACATTTGCATTGACAAGTCAGTCTACACGTGAAAGAGAAAAGGAAATCTATAGTTGCAAATAAACATACATAATTCCTGTAGTTTAAAGGTAGAAGATGAGCATGAGATCATGTAACCTGATGTCCTTTGATAACAAATCACTAATACGCCATCTTTTAAGCCCAGTAACCTTTATTGTTGGCTTAAAATGTATTTTTCAAAAGGAAAAATACCTGTTCTTAAATGGACTAATGAAATTATAATCCAGTGTGATTGAAGCGTGTTCAACTGCTTGGTACTCTGAATTGTTTTAGAAGAATTGTAGCAAGTTTGAGCTTGTCTGGCTGCTGCTTCTATCTGTTACTTATTGTCACATCTTTTCTCAGTCATATTGAAAAAAATCTGTATTATGCTGTGTTTTCATTCATTAATTGTTCTTTCTGTGTCAAACAGTTCCTGTTTTAACCTTTTATTAATACTCAGCAGGGCATGTTGCCAACCCTCAACTCATTATGGTGTTTCTATATTCAGCATGGGTTTGGACATTTAAATTCTGGCCATCAGTCCAGAACTTTTGCCTGTAAATCCATTTGAAGACATGGAAGGTGAAATCTTGGTGTCATTGCTAAGAGCTGGATTTTTGCCATTGAATTAAATAGCTTCAGGATATTGCACATAGATCTTATTTATATTGCCAGTGGTTAAATGATAAATATATGGGTTTCAGCTTTATTAAAGAAAATACTGAGAGTTTAAATCTGTGAGCAGATAGAAGAAAATGGGAGCTTAGGGAGAAGATCACCAAGCTTGACATCAATATTGTCACAGATGAATTTGAGCTGCATTGAAAAATGCAGTCAAGTGTATTTCTTGGTTTCAGACTTTAGAAGAGCGATTCACACAGTTTATTAGAGGGTCTGACAGGTAAAGTAAGAAATGTGAAATAAAGTACAGCTCAGTAGAACTGCATTTCTGGAAGATCCAGGCAAATAAGGCTTTAGTCCACCTCCTTACACTCTGAAACAATACAGAGCAGGTTCCTGAATGCCTGGTAGTTTCTTCTTTTGTTCTGCCCCCTGCATATCGGCAGAAAGACTCCACTGCTGCTTTCCTGGGCTGGTGGGTAAAATCCTCATGTCTTCAGAGATTAAAGCTGCTTTTGTCCTCATGGAAACAGCTTAGCTCCCTAGCTGGAGAAAAAAACCTACTTTCTTCCTCCTTGATGTTATCCCATCAGTTCTGACACCTTTCTTGCAAAGAGAGAAGACAGACAGTAAATTCAGTGATAGCTGACTTTTTTGAAGAAGGGAGAAAAGCTGAATGTTAGAGATATTAATGGCATCAATAATAACATTGAATATAACAGTAATAAAACAGGTGAAGAAAGAAAGAAAGAAGCATACAGGAGTTAGAGGCTATTTAATATTTTTAAATGGTGCTACATAATTTTTCATCATATCTTTATTCTCCTTTTTGTGTACTAAAGTAGACTTTCATTTGTTCCTCTTTCTCTAGGCATTGCTATGCATTGTTAAGTGGCATGGTCTCATCTTAATTTTTTTGGCATTCTTGCTTTATTTGGTGTACAAACCAGTGTGTGTTTAGTGGGTGAGCAGTTTGTTTTTCTCAAGTTTTCACTGCGTGACCAAATGCCCTGAAGATAGATCTCTAATTTCCTCACGACTCTCCTCCTCCTCTCTCCAGTGTTTGAATGTTTGCTGAGTACATTGTCATGCAGAGATTGTGAGAATTAAGGTGATATTTCCTAGTTTTTGTGGAACTAGGACACAGAAGTGTTCACTAATTTTGTTCAAAGGTTAAACTTATTTGGATGCTTTTTTGTGAGTATTTTCTAGAAAATGCACTTACTCTGCCTTCACTTTCAGTTGTAAATGATCTGTGTTTGTCAAATACAGAATCCAAGAAGAGACAGGATTTAAGCATCACAACTTTTTAGGAAAACACAAAAGTGTTGGCACTTCCCTATTGCCAGCTCAGGTCCCTCTCTTAGGAAGAGGTTGAAGAAAGCTGTTGCATAATGTCATATTCAGATGTCTTAGTCATGGGGCTTTTTCCCCCCCTTCATTTGACTTTGTTTACTGCAGTCCTTCAACAACACGTGTGGGAAGGGTTTATCCAGCATTGTCTTTTTTTTTTTTTTTTTTTTTTTTTTTTTTTTTTTTTTGCAAAGACTACTGAACTGAGAAAGGTCCTGTTGTGTCTTCAGTAGTGCATGTGATTGTGTTAAAAATATTGCACTGTACTATGCAGCGTGTTTTTAAGGGAAGACTTTAGTATTAAGCTTACTAGTCTTACTAGTTCCTGTCTTTTGAGTGTTTTACTTCTTTCCTTATGTTGATGCTTTTTATAAACTTGAGTCTTGGACTCCATTCCAGCTTTTTTAGAGGGCTGTTTGTTGTGGTCACTGCCCCCTCTGCCTTTTGCTGTTTCTGTATTTTCATTCCCTCTCTGCTCTCGTGGGCCCTGCCACTTTCTTTTCTGGTTGGCTGAAATTCAGTGCTCTGATGACCCATTCAGGCTTCCTGTGCCAGCAGTTGAAGATCTCCATCTGATTTCAGTCACTCCTAATTCTCCATTAGACATCCAGCATTTTTGTCCTTGCCCCATGTCTGGTGTATTTTCCTCTTCCAAGGCTTTCACCTGTTTATCAGGTCACTGCAGCCACAAGTGCTCCTTGGGTCTGGTACCTCTTTCTTACCTTACCTTCAGTTTCCAATTTACACCTTGCAGCTTTGGGGCAAGGAAACAGAGACCAGTCTGTGCTTCCCTGTGGTGTGTGAGACCTGCTTCTGTCTTCTGCCTTCATCTGCTTTCTTCCCAGTTTAGGAACTGGCAGGTGGAATGTCAAAACAGAGAAAAGCAGCACCTCTGCTGGGGGTGTTAAGGTTTCAGTGTCCCAAGAGCCTCAAAAGATTGCAAGATCAAAGTTCTGCCTTTTTAGTCTGGATCATAATTGATGCAAATAGGACCTTCAGTGAACTTTTAAATGCTGAATTATTTGTGAAAAGGATGACAGCCCTCTAGGCTCTCAAATTAGCCAGGTTTTGGTGAGTCCTTTACACCTTGGGATAGGTTAAAAAAAAAAAAAAAAGGAAGAATTCAGCCAGATTTTTACTGTAGCCAGGCATGGAAGTGCAGGATTTATTTTCTCAACCAAACTGTTCCAAGAACATATCTTTCATGTGTGTAGTGGGTGAGTTCTTGGAGTCTTGAGTTTTCACATTTTCTGTCTGAATCTGTTCCTGGAAACATGCACTGGTTTTGCTTAGAAGCTCCTCTGGTTATTGTAGTAAGAGTCATTTGGCAGCTAAAAAATGCAAAAAATTTGCACTTGAAATGTATAAGGATATTTAGAAATCAGGGGAAGAAATCCTATTTATGTTGCTTAAATTTCTTGTAACATTCAGCAAATTATTTTCATGTATTCAGTGTATGACAACACTGAACAAAGTGTCAAGGCAAAACTGCTTAGAGATAATGAATAGTGGGCTTAACATTCTAACTGTTCTGCATTTTGCTTGTGTTAGCAAAAACTCGTGCTGCTGACTTACTGGTGAATCCCCTGGACCCAAGGAATGCAGATAAAATTAGAGTTAAAATTGCTGACCTGGGGAATGCCTGCTGGGTGGTAAGTGTAACTACATCATGTTCACTATTTAGCACAGGTCTTTTTATAGTGCTTTTTTCCCATTAATGTGGTTCTTTCTATTTTAGCACAAACACTTCACAGAAGACATCCAGACAAGACAGTACAGATCCATAGAGGTTTTAATAGGAGCAGGTTACAGTACACCTGCTGATATCTGGAGTACAGCATGTATGGTAAGAACAATGCAATGTGTATTTTACAAGAGTGAAGCTCCTGAAACAGTTGTTTATTTAGTGAGGAAGCCTGATGGGGATGTTTTTGATGTTTTGATACAAATACATTATCATAAATGATGCTGTATCAGATAGCTGCTGATGATTTCTTCCCTTTCTTTCAATTTCTCAAGCCTTCTTAATCAAAAGGAAATATTTTGGAGAGCACATCTAATTTTCATGTGATGCATTTTAAACTTGTAGCCAGAAACATGCAAGTTTAGGGAAAAAATCTGTGTCTATTCTGAATGACAAAATGTAACTGACAAAGTACAACTGTTTGTTTCATTCCAATCTTAGAACCTGGGCTACTGTTAGCTGTGATTTTATTCCCTTTTCTTGTGTGAAGTAGCAAAATAGGGAAATACTTTAAATTGGTGCCAAGTGCAGTGAAAACATGGATTGGATTAGGCTTGCCTCTAAACTTTCAAGAGTAGGAATTCAGTTTATTGGCATAAAATATGTGGTAACATTCTGTGGAATTAGTTTTAACACAACTGAAATTACAGCTTTTGAAAAGTCTTTACAGAACAGAAAAAATGAAAACTTGATCATGCAGCTTTTTGAAACACCCTAATAACTCTTTGAGGATGAACACACTGCATCCTCTCATTTAAGATAGTATGTATATCCAAAAAAACAAATTTAGAAATACCTTTGCCTATTTTAAAAGTAAAATCTTAATAAAATCTTTATATTTTACAAATACATGTCTGATAAGAGTAAGTGTGTGAGGAGGAGAAGGAGAAGATTCATACTAGACACAGTTTGCATGTGTGGGTGATGAGAAGAATTACACAGCTCGGAGGGAGAGGAGGAGGAGGAGGATTGAAAGGAACATAAAATCCTACAGATATTATAGTTCAGCAAGCCATGTATTGGAACTAGCTAACCCATAAGTGAAATTAAAGTATGTCTGCTCTGGAGTTTAATACTAGCTTTTTCTTTAGTACACAGCAAACCCATCCATTTCCAAAATTTACAAAATGGAGAATTTTTCTATTACATTGAAAACAAAGCATTAAAATATTCCTCAGTTTGTTCTTTAATTCCTTAAGTTATTCTTCTCTTAACTAACTACAGAGTCATTATAGAGACTTTGTTCTTTTACCTAGTAGTTTGTAAACCTCAGTTGAACTTGATAACCTTTTATAAACCTCAGTTGAACTTGATAACCTTTTATTTTATTGGACACCCTGCATTCATCTTGAAGTTGTACCTGTCACTGCTAATTTTACAGTCTTATAAAGTCTTTTAGTCTTGGAGCTAAAGGCACATAAAGCAGGCTGAGGTCTACCTAGAACTGTGTTTAAAGACAGAGGGGTACTAAATAGCAATATCACATCTGTGGAATGTAATATTCTTGCAATACTTGGGGTTTGCCAGCCTATTACAACTTCTCCTCTGTGTTATGTAAGTGTTCCTGCTTGCTTCAAACTCAGGGAAAGAAAAAGGCCTAAAGCATCACTGCCACTGGAGGTACCTTAACTCAGATTCACAATTATGTATGAAATTTCATTATTTTAAAGAGAAAAATGTAGTTCTGCTTTTTTTTTGTTATGTAAGCCTTGCAGGTAGTAAAGCATTTCAGGCAGAAGTGCTGTAATTCTGTCTTCTGTCACAGTCTTTAGGTTTTTGCCCTTAAGAAATGCAGTAGAAATTTTGTAACATTACAGCACTTACATACAATTGTTGAATATAATTGTCATCATGGTATAGTTGTGTAAAAAATAGAGAGCAGCCTCTCAAGCTCACAGAAAAAAATCATCATTTAAAAACCCCTAGAATGTGTTTGCATTGCTGTGTGGCTGAGAAAATGGGTCAGAGCATTGGAGATGCTGATCCTGTATCAGATGGAAAACAGCTCTGAGGTAGGGATTGCCTTGGAGGCCTTAATACCTCTTCCTGCAGAGGACTTGTAATAGAGATTAACAGCCAGGAAAGCATTCCTGATGTGGAACTTCAAAATCCCAAATTTATTTAGGCTGTCTTTGGAAATTATAATGTGAACCTCTCCAATCCCTAAGGCAGTCAAGGACTGTGAAGTGCCAAAGTGTTTTAGTGCCTCTACTTGGCTTTCTCAAGGTTGGTTTCCTTGTTGTACTTAGATTTGATTCAGAAAATGCCCTTCTAGATTATCTTGCTCTTGCTTCATATTTAATTCCCTCTGTTCCATGTTTACTGTGTTTGCAAAGGGATTGTCTGCTGGAGCAGGGGATGCTTATTTTCAGCCAAAATACAGCTTAGATACCCTGTTAGCCTTGATGTCCAGGACTCCCAAAGGAGAGCAGAGGCAACTCTGCTAGTACAAGTCCTGAGTCATTAGGGACATTTTGGAAGCAGTACTGTGTAAAATGAGTGGTCCAGCAGTATTGCCATTACTTTTCCTTGGCAAGTTTCCGTTCATCCATACTTTACCTAATGTGACAGCACCAAGCACACATGAACACTGCTTAACTGGCAAAGTAGATTTTCTCCATGTATTTTGTGTCCACTAGTGTGTCAGATATTCTAGCTCATATCTCCATTTAAAAAATGGCAAAAAAAGGGCCTTTCTTGGAACTTAGTGTTTGTAGGGTTTCTGTGTCACAGATTTATGTGCATATAAAACTCACAAATCTTTGTGTCCTGGATTATATGAAGGATGACTTGGAATGCTTGGTACCAGGATTCACCTGGAGTCTTAACTTGGTCTTGTACTTCATAGATCTCCATTTGAGCCTAAAGTTTTCACTGCATTTTCCTTGCTAATGAAATAATCTTGCTCACCGAGGGTAGCACTGACCATGAGTGGCCCAGCTGCTGGTTCTTGTATTGGCTTGTATTTATGGCATAAAGTGTGTTAAGCACAGAAGATTGTGTTTTATCTCAGCAGCAGTAAAATGTCTTTTTCCATCATACCATTTGCCAGTCCATTTTACACAGCCTTTAATAATAAGGATGAAGGTGAAGTTTTTAAACAAGACCTCTGATAATCAGGCCCTGAGCATGCAAAGCATCTGTGTTCTGTGTGCACAGCAACTTCCAGAATATTCTATTATGAATCTTCTGGGACATGGTACATTGTGTCTGAATGGAGAGCATTCCTTACCTGGCCTCAGTCAGTTTGGGATGGCTTTGTCTAGCCAGGAGTGTGATGGTTTTGATGCAGCTTCCAGGAAAGAAAAGTCCTGTTTTATTTGTATTGATTTTAGTATGGGACTAGCCAGTTTCTGGTCAGGGTTACCTGTGCTGGGAGTGTTTGTAATCAGAGCCATGTAAGGGCTCTACCCAAACAGCAAAAGAGAGCAAGATAACTCAGGGCTAATGATCTTGCAGTGCTGTTTCTTTGGTGTTATATCAGTGAATAAGTGGCATTGTAAGCCACCAGCCTGTGAGCTGAATCTTCTAATTTTAGATACTTTGGCATGCCCCAGTTCTTGTGCCCCAAACTTCTTTTAATCAGGTTTAAAGGATGAGTGTGAATATCCTCAGACCAGTACCAGTCCTCTGCTCAGGTAATATAAGTTGCAGAGTTGCTCAGGAAAAAACAAAGGAAGGAAGGGAAGACAGAGGATGATGCATATCTTTGGAGGCTTATAATCAGTGCAGAGCATGCATGAAGTGCTGTGAAGGAGGTTGGATGTCAGTGGGCTTTTCCAGACCTCGGTGGAGTTGTTTGCTTGCTCGGTGCTTGGCAAAGAATTCCACAAAGTGTAACTTATATTTTGTCTCTAGACTTTGGTGATCTTGGTTGGAATGATTGTTGCTGTCATTTGCTGGACACACATAAGTTTGGTTAAGGAAATTGTACACTGCCCTTTTATTTTTCTTTTAACATTGTGGCCTGTTTATGTGGAACTGTCAGCTGCTCTCATGGAGAGCTACGCACTGGGAATCTCTCCACATTTACTAAATTCTAGAAGATGTTCCCTTCCTGTACTAAGCCCTATTAAATTCTGCCAGCAGGGAGGTGCATCTCTCATTTTCACCCAAAAAAGGGGAATAGATTTGGAGGCAGCAGTACCTTTGACAGGATTGAAAACATCTTTGATGATTTAGTTGTATTGGTTTAAATTTCCACATTAACAGTATTCAGCGGGTTGCTTTCTTTAGAGCAGCAACTGAACAGACTCTGAGTGATTTAGCATTTCCTAAATCCCAGAAAACACAGAACACAGTACTCCACTGCTGCTGCCAAGAAATCCTGGCAAGATAAGGGAGCTAGTACTGGCAGCCAGCCTCCTTTTGTATTGCTTCTGGAAATGACTGCAAGCACCATCTATCCACTGCTTTTCCTTGTTCCAGTCTCCTTGCACTGGGGACAGGAAAAGCTCCTGAAGTGATGAATCTCATCATCTGACTTTTGCTCATTACCTTTGGTTTGAGCTGCTGGCAAGAGGTGACTGTGTCACAGGCTGGGACATGAACAAGGCTTTTTAAGTTTTTAACACTTTTCTGAGGTATTTTTGGTGGAGGGTTGTGATTCCTGCAATATCCTCTCTTTGTAATAAGAACTAGCAAACAGATGACAGCCATAGATCAGCAGGAAGTCAGAGAAGGTGAAAATTGTACTTGGTATTTTATCTACCCAAAGAGAAGACAGATGATGAAAGAAAACACTACAAGGTGTGATGGAAAGGGGACAGACACAGAGCTTTCAAAACAAAGGATGTGCTACTACAAGAAAAGCAAGTTTACAGCACTGGGGTTTATTCATGGCCGTTTCTGTTTGTGTGAGAGAACTCAGGAACAGAATGGAGGAGAATGAACAGGATATCCTAAGTTATGTTAAAATTAAACCTACATGTAAGTGCTTGTGGGTGCCTTGCAGACTTGTGCCCCCAGTTTATTTCTTTGTGTGCTGTTCTCCAGTGTGGGGTGGAGAGGGAGCTGTCCTTAACTACTCTTCACTGTTGTAAGCAGGGAAGAAATGATCATGTCTCCATGGGATCATGAGTATCATCATGTCAGTATGTGTGAGTGGCACATACCAAAGGTGTGATGACAAGCTTCAGTCTGCACAGAAGCAGTATTTTGAGGAAAAATTGAAAATCAGAAATGTGGTTTCGAGGGGAGAAAAAGCTGAAGTTGCTATGCACGTATTTTTCAGTAGGCAGATCCAGTACAGAATGCTGTTATTACTCGCTGTGCACCCTTCCTGAAGGTGGTGGGTGGACAACCTGAAACACTCAAAAGAAAATGATTTCCCAGAGGAGCTGACTTTCCAAAACAGCCACTCAGCATGCATGATTCCAAGATTGGAGTACAGCAAATAAAATGACCTTGTTTCCTTTCCAAGCATCCCATGCAAGTCTCTGGTTGGTATATTTGGCCTTCCTTACAAGCACTAACCATGCAAAATGCCTTTCAGACTCTTCCCCTTGCCTCGCCCTTCAGGGGGAGATGTCCATGGGAGAACAAGCTGTCAGCTGGTGTGTGTATCTCAGAAAGCTTTCTGATCTTTCTGTGCTCCCACCGACCTGTGGAACAGTGTTCTTAAAACCAAGCCTGCTTTTAAAGCAGTTACAGTCTTCACATTCACATCTCTTCATTTCAGCTGGGTAGGAGAAGCTCTGGCCAAGAGCTGCATCTCATCTGTCAAAATAATAATTCTGGCCTATAGCTTGTTGTTCTTTTTCAGCTGGGACTTCAGTTCAGGGAGGCTGATGCAGTCCAAGTGAATTGTTCTTCCAGTCCTCTCCCAGAGAGCTTTCCCTAGGCATGCATCCATGTTTCAATCAGCAGATTGAGTGCACAGCTGTCACACAGTGAAAATGGAGCTATTTCCAATTGTGTGTTTAGATGTGGCTCCATTATGTAGTGATGGCACCAGTTCTGTGCTGTGCTGGGTTCACATACATAGAGCCTCTTCAGAGCCTATCAAACAGCAGTGTAACCATTTCTGTGAAAGGTTCACCATCTGCAGATGGAGAAAAGCAGTCTAGACTGGTTTTCTGTGAGAACCTTAGGAAAGTGGTAAGTAGAAATTGCCAGAACACTCAGTAAAGATGGATGTTGCCTTGGGCTTCTGTGCCATATGTTGAGTGTGATGTAGCTAATTTTTTATCTCCATATAATAAATAAAATGCTGACTTGTCTTGAGGTAAATGTCAACAGTAAATTAAAAAATCATGGTATTTTAGAGTTGGAATTTCTGTCAAGAAACTTGTTTTTAGAACTTATTACTTTCAAAGGGAAAATAAGTAAATATAGTTAGTCTGTATTTGTAGCATCCTGGAAATTTGTCGCAGACATCCTATATGGAAAATCCTTTCCTTAGGATTTTTCCTCCTGAGAAGCTGAGAGGCCTCAGGAACAAAATGTAGACAATGGTTATCTGCTGCTGTGGAATGCAACAGGTGCATCTGTGATTGGGCCATGTGGTTGTTTCTAACTAATGGCCAATCACAGCTGGCTCAGACTCTCTGTCTGAGACAGAAGCCTTTATCATTCCTTTCTATTCTTAGCTAGTCTTCTGATGAGATCCTTTTCTTCTTTTAGTATAGTTTTAATGTGATATATATAATAAAATAATAAATCAAGCCTTCTGAAACATGGAGTCATATCCTCATCTCTTCCCTCATCCAAGAACCCCTGTGAACACTGTCACAGAAATTATAGACAAATTTAGGTTTAAAGTGATCTCTGGTATCTGCCTCCTTCTTGAACAAGGGTTGTTGTCCAAGCTAGATGAGGTCACTCAGTGCCATGTCCAGGTGAGGGGTACAGACCTCAGGATGTACCTGTACCAGTGGCATTTCCTCAGCCTTTCTGAGCAGCCTGTCCCAGCACTCAGGCAGTCTCACCAAAGAATTTTTTCCTGTGTTTGATTGGAATTTCCCATCTTGCTCCCTGTGTTGTCCTTTCATTGGGGAGAGTGTAACTTTCTTTTCTGCACTGTTGCCTTCAGGCATTGGAGTGCAGCAATTAAATCCCTTCTCCCCCGTGAGCAGACCCAACCCTGCCAGCCTCCCCTCCTGCCCCTCTGCTCAGCCCCTGTAATGCCTCAGCTCCTCCCTGCCCTCTCCCCACTTGGACAGGGTCACTGGCACACTGGTGGCCCCAGACTGGTCAGGGCTGGGCAGAGCAGACCCGTGGTCACTGTGCTGCCCTTGGGGCCTCCTTGAGTCATCACAGAGTGTCAGTGGCCTCCCTTGTGGGGTCTGGGGGCTGTCTGTGCCTGCAGGTGGGTGTCAAGTGTGGGTGAGTGCTGAGGATGCCCAGAGCAGCAGTGGTGGCACAGCCAGAGCTGTGGCTCTTCCATGGCTCCCGCTCCATCCCAGCCTGGGCTTTCCAGGGCACCACCCCTTTGGAGAGTGCTTTAAAGAGCAGAAAAACTGATACAATCCAGAGATGGGATTGTCCTTCTTACAGCTATTCATGTGTTTATTAATGTATCTCTAGCACTGATTCTTTATGACAAAAACCTTGGTCTGGTTTTATTCTTTTTTATATGAAGACAAATTAATTTCATTTATCTTGCCCAGTGTAGCCAGTCTGTCCTGAAAGTAGCTGGGAACATATTAGCAGGTGCCACAGATGAACCTGTGAGACATTGTCTTCTATGGGTCCTAAGAACCATCACTGCAAACACCACACCACCTGCCTCCGGGCTGTCCTTGTGTGCATCTGAGTCAGAAGTGGTTTTGTTCTTGGAGTCCTTTAGGGAGAGTCAGAAAATCCAATGTGTGAAGTGCTGTGGCCCCAGCCCATCTTGGGCATGCAGTCAGAGCTGTACAAAAGAAAAAGAGAGACATCATTGTCACTTTCAAGAGCTGTGGTTTTTGTTCAGTGAGAAGATGGTATACAAAAAAAATATCCCAAATATGTGGGAATTTTCAGCTCTTGTGATACACAAACTGATCTGAAATTCAGAGCATCACAGTAGTATGCTTACCTCTTGTGCTTTTTTATAAACAGTTTTCACAGTTTTTCAGTTTAATCTTTTTAGTCCCACACAGACATATCAAGCTATTAATACTTCATTTTATGGACAGAAACTATATTCTTATGTAGTCTACCCCTGTGGCTAAATTCAGCTGCATTTCCATTCTTCTCCAGAGATCTGTGTGTAATAGCAGGGAGTTCCTCAATGTCCTTGGGAATCAGCCCCACTGGTGTGTGCTCTCCTGGGAAAGCTGCTCCAGCTCTCCCTATGAATAAATTCATTGGCATGAGATACAGAGAGGACACTTGGGTCTTCTCTGTCTCACCTCAGGAGAATAACAGTGTTCTCTGTGGTGTGTTCAGAGATATCCCAGTGATCGCTTCTGGCTGCTCTTAACATTTGTTTCAGTTTAGAAACCCGGTATTTTATGAAAGAAATCATTCCAATTGTTTTCAGCTGTACAATGCAAACTGTCAATCCTGAGCTAAGAGTGGAATAAGAAAAGTAGTGAATGACTGTTTATCAGTGGTAGTAACTTTAGAAGTTAAAGGCCTGTTCATAGGATCAGCAGAAATGTCAACAAGGGGTGTTCTTGGTTTTCTTGGCTGCCATGTGTGATTGCAATGAGTTATGTTGGCTGTAGCCCACTTGGATGACACTGCAGTTCACAGCTTGAAGAAGCCAAATGCTCATAAATAGGCTAAATTTACAGGTGATTTAACAACTCCAGTTTGTAAACTGGAACAGAAAAGTGCCTATTTTCAGGAGACAAGTATTTTGTAGTAAATGTTCTAATGGAGTGGAATCCCATCCTAGAATTGTGCTCGGAAGCTCTTCCTGATTTTTGGAATGCTTTTCTGGATCAGTTTTTTTCCCATGTCTTGGACATGGAAAATAGTTTGATGTTTAAACCACCTGGAAGGAATTAGATTCCTGTGGCTGCTTGGGCAATTGGTGAGCCAGAGCTGAAGGAGACTAGTTTAACAAATTAGACCAGATGAATCCATGTCTGACACAAGTAGGGGCTCTCATAGGTGCTTCAGAGCTTTGCAACTTTTCATATTCATTACACCCATACAGAGAAAGTTCAAATTGACCCTCACCTAACACAGGGCTAGCATCCCTGCCTGCCCTGAGGGGATCTGATGTCCTGGTGTCTGTTCTGGATTCCCCATCGGTATCTATCTTGCCATTTATTCCCACCACTGAAGTATTTCAAAAAACTCTTTCAGATTTAGAGTAATCCAAGAAGCTAATTCAAGTGATTAATTATAGACATGAATGGATTTTTTTTTTTTGGCTAATTTCAAGTGATTAGTTATAGTCATAAATGGATTTTATTTGTGATTCAGACTTTTTTAGTTCAGCCTCCAACATGCAACATGACAGGTGAATACCCTTCAGATATATGTGTAGCTCTTATTATATATATTATATTGTATTATTTATATATATTATTATTATATTTTGAAATGCCTGATGTGTTCAGGTGGCTGACACAAGCACCACCCTGCACACGAGTGGGTGAGGCTGTGTTTAAGGCTGGCTCAGAGCAGCACTGCCAGACCCTGGGGAGCTGCTCTGAGCGTGGCAGCACTGCCAGGGCTCCCGGGGCTGCAGGGAGGGGCAGCACTCCAGCCCTGTGTGTGATTCCTTCCTTCATCCCACCTGCAAGAGCAGAGTGCCTGGGGATGGGCAGGCTCCAGCCCCAGCCCCACAGAGGGCTGGATGTGGGGCTGGACGTGGGGCTCTGTGCAGAGCCTGGGTTTGTGCTGCTGCTGCTGCTCTGCAGGAATGGTGTCCCCAGGTAAGTGGCTGCTCCTGAGTCTCAGATCAGTCACAGGCTGGAGCTGAGTGTGGATTGCTGTGGTTTCTGAGGGAGCTGTGATGTTGTGCTGACACCTCTCGATGGAAGGCGTTATTTCTGCAGCCCTGACTGTGTCTGTTGCGTTGTAGGCGTTTGAGCTGGCGACTGGAGATTACTTGTTTGAGCCACACTCTGGTGAAGACTATTCCAGGGATGAAGGTATGACTCTTTTGAGGTATTGTAAGAGTTTCTTTGTATTTTCATACACCTCTTAAATTTCCAGTGAGCTTACAGTGGGGTTTTTGTATTTGAGTAGAACTGTTCATACACGTTGTTTTCAGAGTATAAACATGATTTTTTTTCTTTTTAGTTTTAAGTTCCACCACTAGCAGTGGGTGGACAAAAACTGCCTTCTGCAGATATTCATCTACTTAACAACTGCCTGAAGGAATTAAACTACCCTTCTTGTAAGATTGCATATGTGTGGAAACCTGATTGAAAATAACAACATTTTAGTTTAGAAAAGAAACGACAAATTTGAACTTTATTCTGTTATTCTCTTTACAAGAGTGACACTGGAATAATGTTTACATTGTGTATTTTTATTTGTATTAGGCAATTACTAATTTTTTTTTTAAATCAGAGTTAACTCCTGCTTCCATCTGTATACCTGTCCATTTTCATGCTTGTTTGCTTGTAAATGCTCTTTGCAGTGGTAATGTGGGCATCATTCATTGTTCCTAAATGCTACTAATGATGCCAGAGCTCTGCTGATCCTGGAAACCTCTGCATGGATTTGCTGCAAACATTGTTGATTTGAAACTATTTCTGATTTTTTACTAATTCCAGTTTCTTTCCTCTTCTTTTTTATCCCATCCTTTCCCTGCCCCTTCCACTCCCGTATCCTTTTTTTCTCTCCCTCATAGACCACATAGCACACATCATAGAGCTGCTAGGCAATATCCCAAGGCACTTTGCTCTATCTGGAAAATATTCTCGGGAATTCTTCAATCGCAGAGGTAGTACCTCTTCTTTTTGAAAGGTGCCGTGACGCAGACAGAAGTGGAATTGCTGTGGCCGGTTGCATCATGTCCCAGCAAGGAGCATTTCCTGAAATCACACAACAAAATTTTCTGTTTTGAAAAGCAAAATTCCCACAAATCTCTGAAATTTATTTTTTTTTTACCCAAATGTTCTGAAAAATAACTATTGGTACATTTTAAATTACATGGGAAAATTTGTTTGTGGCAGCTGCCACTCATTGTTTTGAGAAGGAAGTTTTGCTGAAAGCATCCTTCCAAAGTAGCCACTGAGTGAGCAGTGTGCACCTGTGTTTTTTACCAGGATCAATCTATTTCTGTCTGTACCGGGCCAGTGTTAGTGTGTGCATGCAATGTACTGATTAAACTGTTGTATGTTTCTGTTTTGCTGGCAATGTTCTCCAATGCAGACCACATAGCATTGATCATTGAACTGCTGGGAAAAATCCCTCGAAAATACGCTATGTTGGGGAAATATTCCAAGGAGTTTTTCACCAAAAAAGGTAACGGTATTTATGCAACACTAATTTAAAGCATAATACTATCCAAAAGGAGAATATGTTCATTTACGGGTACTGAAGAAATAGATCCATTTAAATGGAGAGCACTTACTAAAGAAGATCTGTGATGTAAACTTGGCTTTCTGGGAAAAGCCCCAATTTGAGGTGTTCATTTCAGAATTTCATTTCAAATTCATTTGGGGATGTACTCAGCAAAGTGTGGATGTTAACAAGTGTCTGTGTGAATCTGTTGTCTAATGTTCCTGTAAGTGTGAGGACTCAAGTGATGCATGGCTTGTAACGTGTTGAAAAATCATCTGCCAGCAGCTTTGGATCCCAGCTAGTGGTGTCCAGCAGGAGCTACTGGTAAGGAAAGAGAGAGGCAGGAAGGGAATACCTGGGCAGTGGGCACTGAGCTGCTGTCACACCCAGGGAGCAGGCAGAGCAGATGGAATTGGCCCAGGCTGCTCTTGAGGGCAGGGTTTGACTCATGGGGGACGTGGTGATGCCCCAGGTTTGTTCTCCCCTCAGCTGTGAGACAGCCTGTGCTGTGTGGAGGGACAGGCTGTGTCAGGAGCATCCTGGGCTGTCAGCACAGCTGGGAGGGCACTGTGCTGCTGACAGAGCTGGGGATCGCCCTGCCCAGGGCTGCCTAGTGAGGTGTGGGTGTCCGGGGGCTGAGCTGGCGGCTCTGGAGCTCGGGGTTGTGAGGCTGAACACAATCAGTGAGGCTGAACACAATCAGTGATTCAGCCTCCCATGCCCTCCCAGCAGTGACTGCCCCTCCCTCCTGCTCTGTGCTGGATACTCCTGCTGCAGCAGGGACTGACTCCCTGTGCCTCTGTGTCCTTAAGGAGGCTGCCAGTGGCATTGCAGTGCAGAGCAGGGCAGCAGTGATGATCTGAGAGGGAGCAGCTGCCCTTTGGGGGAGGCTGATGGGCTTTTGAGTGTGGAGTGAGGTTTATGTAATCAGAAAGTCAGTGGATGAGCTGAAGGCAGAGCTGCTGTTTGCCAGCACTCACCATGTAAGAGCTGGGGGAAAGGCAGTGGAATTTGCAGATGGTGGATTTAAAACAAGTGTTTCCCTGCACAGCAGGCAGTGAGGAGCTTCAGGAGCTGCCTCGGGGGGCAGAGGGCTTCAAACAGCCTCCTGGTAACTGAGGTGTACAAAGTCAGGCCCATGGGTCTGGAAATGTGTCAAGCAGTAAGGGCTGGGCAGGAGATTCCCTGCAGCACCTCCAGTCAGGGATTGCAGCTGCTGGAATGTATCTCACATTTCTATTTTTCACCTTACAGCAGACAGGTTGGCATTTTCTAGTGATGTGGCAGAACTGTAAAATGACCCAGCCGATACTCAGTAGCTGCAGTGTGGGCAGGGCACAGGAGAGGGCAGTTGGTAAAATTCCTGTGATGTGGAGAGGCCCTGGTGCTTCCATGAGCATCTTCAGCTGCAGAGTGTCACTGCTGTCCTCTGGCCTGAACATTGGTGACACTGCTCAGAGGCACTGGGGGTGCCTCTTGCATCCCCAGGGTGGGACTTAAGGTAGGATTAAAGGCTTGGTTCACCAACCACACAACATAAAGGTGCAAGTTTGCTGTGGAAGATTGAGTAGACTGGATCCCACCTGTTGCTGCTTAAACCAGAAGATCTCAAATGCAAGGCAAAGGAGTAACAAACCAAGCTGCTTTTTCAGATCATCCCCAAGAGTTATTCTGCTGTTGCAGGCTGGGGAAGCTGAAATGTTTGTGGAACAAAACTGGAGGTGCTAAGTGTCCTTCCTTGAGCCTCTTTCTTTGCATCAGGCACCCTTTTCCTTTTCCCTGGCCACGCCAGCACTGCCAGCCTCTGCTGTCCCCAGCTGGGATTTGTGTGGGGGCTGGCAGGCTGTGACAGGGAGGTGCAGAGTTGGCCAGCAGCTGCTGCATTCTGTACTCATCTGCCTGTGCCTTGAGCACTGGAGATAAGAAGCCTCATGGTACAGGCCTGGGGCTCTTGGAGAATTTCTCACTGTGGTCTGAGGGTGGGCTTAGAAATCTTGCTTTGAGCTCCTGTTTTGAAAACATCAGTCTTGGGTGAAAATCAGTTTGAGTTTTGCTCCTGTCCATGAGCAAGTGTGACCTCAGAGAGGTGCTGTACACATCTGAGTTGTGCTGCTGAAGTCCCAGGCACAAAAAGAAAGATGCTAGTAACCTAAAGAGTTCAGAGGATCAAGTCCTTTCTCAGTAATTGCCTGAAGCAGTTTTAGACATTCAAATAGGAGGATGCATTTAAAAGAGGAAAAGCATTTTTAAGTTGCTTCTTACACTGTGACACAAATGCTCACATATTTTTATAAAGTCTCATCTTGATTGAGCCCAGTAAAGGACTCCAGGGAGTCCACTTCTTCAGTGTCTTCATGGAAGCTCTTTTGACTGTAAGAATTAATAATTTGGCATTAAAATGTAAAATCTTTTTGTTATTCCTAGACCATGTTCCCCTTCTATATTTCTTCTGGTATTTGCTGGTCCTGTTCCCTTGTGTGCTAAACCTGTGCAAGGTGCTGGCCTGGGGCTGGCTTTGCTTTGGGAGCTGAGCCATGAGAAGCACTCACTGTGGTGTCCTGGAGGGGAGGAAGGCTCCCCCCACGCTCCTCACTTCCACCTCTGCTCCACCAGCCCTGGAATTGGTTCTCAGGATCATGTCATAGATGTGGAGCAGCAGATTAAATCCCATTGCTGCTTCCCCAGTTCTTCACATCATCCATGTCTCACTGTTCAATGATCCATCCTCCTCTTGCCTGGTGACACATCTTAAATGTGTCTTTGACAAATTTTACAGACTAGCTCTGGTTTTTTGTGTTATGGTCAGCAGAGACAGCTTTAAATAGCATTTTCCTCCCCTGGTCCTTCAGAAATTTTTTTTAGTAATTTCCTTCTGGCTTAACATTTCCTTTTTCAGAGGGATCATTGCTGCCTCTGCTTTGGCAACAGGAGTTTTACAGCTCTGACAACTCTGTTGTCCTCTGCAGATTATCTCCTGTGTGCTTCACTATCAAAAATCCAAATAAAGAGCTTCTCTGAGGAAGCTCTCAGTATTACATTTTTAGCACTTCCTTGAAAATACATGCTGATGCCCTGAATACAGATGGTGTCAGACTGGTGGGGCTTGTGCTTTTTAAATTTCTCCCTTAAATATAGGCACAGCCTTGCTCTCCTCCAGCTTCATGGTACAAACATCTTGAACTAGGTGAAAATATGAGTTGGCAGGCACTTCCATTTCCTGTGCTCTTCTCATGCTTTAGATGGAAATGAGAAGGACCCACATGAAAATTATTTCTAAGACTTTGTGTCCACTTAAGTGGTGTTGATTTTCTTTTTACTTAGCCTATTTTGTTTCCATAGTTAGCATCATGATCCTTTCTGAAAACTGAAGCACTAGTTTAAGCGTGGCCCCCACACAGATACTTTTTACTGAATCCTGTCTTCTTAAAGGCTTTGGCAATCTTCATGGAATTCTTGTGAAAAACTTCAGCCACAGTGCTAAAAGTGTTTATTCCTTAGCAGAAAAACTGCTGAGTATTGTGCTGGGCATAGCATGGGCAGTCACAATGAGGAGTACTCAAACAGCAGAACTCTCCTTCCACAGTGGCACAGGAGCCTCATTGTGCAATCTTACCTTAGATCTGAGAGGGGAAAGATGCTGGAAATGACAAAATGTGAGTGCAAAGATGATGACAGTGCTGGATGGGAACACACACCCACCCTCCCTCCGAGCTGAGCCTTATTTGGCACATGATTACAGCAGCCCTTGCAGTGAATGCTGGGAGCTGGAGAAACCATGGACATGATTTTTTTTCCTAGTAATTTTTTGCTTGCAGTCAGTACCAAGTCATTTTTCTGTCACTTTTGGGCAGTAATTTGACTTCATGCATTCCTTTTACATAATTTACTACCTGTTCCTGTAAGCAGTCACCAGTGCACTCTTTTGGAAACCTTCCAAAAGGTAAGGTTTTCAGCAGTAAAGTTTTAGGGTTGCACAAAGATTTAAAGGACTGAGAGTGAGCCTGGAAATGAAGATGCTGCTCCAAGGTGTGCTGTGCTTTCTGTTGTGTGGGCAGCTGTGGGCCCAAAGCAAAACCTTTCTGTGTCTGTGGGTGCACGTGGGACCTGCGTGCACTGAGTGTTCACACACAAAGCAGAGCGTGGCCTCTGCTGCTGCTCCTCCTGTGGGCAGCACACCTCGAGCTCCTGTTTCTGCAGCTTGTGGGGGATGGATTGTCTGCACTCCCGCTCCTGTGGGGACTTTGTGACAGCAGCTGGAGCTGCTTTTTCAGGCCCTGCACTGTGCCTAGGACCTGCTGCTGAGGGCTGAGGCAGCAGAAACAGGGCCTGCTCAGCCTTTGGGGCTTTAAATCATTGCATTGAGGAGTTCAGCCCCTGGGGCAGTCAGATGGACACGGAGTGGCTTCTCCTGCCCTGGAGCTTCCCTTGGCACAGGCATGTGCAGGAGCTCTGGCCATGAGCTGGTGTCAGATGGCATTTTCTGGGCAGTAGGTTACAGCAGGGACAAGCAGCACACTGACAAACCACCTGGCTCACAAGCAGTGTGGCCTGGGTGCCCCATCCCAGGTGCTGGAGTGAGCTTGTGAAGCCTCCAGTGTTGGAAGAGACCCCAGCACTCTCCTGAGTGCAGAAGCACCACAGGGGTCTCTCAAGTGATTTTTGCAGTGTCCACTGCAGACTGTCTGCCTTACACACATGCTCAAGATGGGTTGCATTAAGAGTATAGAAATTCAGCAGAAAACATCTGCCCTTGTGTTTCAGCTGGTGCCCAAAGATCAGAGGGGCTGGGTGTGGCAGGGCTTAATTCCTGATCAGAACAGATCAGGCACTCTTAAGTCTGGTCACATTCAGAAAGAGCTTTCACATACACAGATTCATGGCCAGCTGCAGTAGTTTGTTGCAGCAGGAGGCCAGAGATTCATTAGCTTGTTGGTGATAAATGCACTGCATCTGTGCAGAGTGTAAGTGCCCTGCACACAGGTGTTCCTGGCTGTGGTCTGACACAGAAGGCAGATGTTACCAAAGAGATGGAGAAAGAAGCAAGCTTGTTGACTTATCTGCAAGGTGGGGTTCTGTTCTTATCCTCTCCAAGGAGGATGTCCCATGTCAGATTTACACTTTTTGGAGAACAGGAGGTGTGGCTGTAGTGAAATTCCCTGTTACTGCCATCCTCAGTGGTGAGAGGGCAGCCACACCACGTGCAAATGAGGGCTGTTGAGAGCCTGGATTGCAGAGGCTGTGGCACAAGGTGACAGCTCAGTGTCCTGGTGGCAGCAGGGAGGCTCATTCAGCCTGGCAGCTGCTCGTCCCTCTTGTGCCCACAGTAATCCCTTCACCATGGAGCTCATGGCAATCTCATGGCTTTGGGCCTCATTCCTACACAGTGGAGGAGCAGCAACCTGAAGAGTTTTCCCCATTGTGCTGGATGACCCATGGACACACCTGGGTAGTGTTGCTGGTTTGAATGGCAGAACAGTTCTCACCTCCTTCCTTCTGGTCAGGTTGGCAAAGTCTCCCCTCTTGGGGGGAACTCCCGTCCTGAGCTGCTGCCACCGTTTTTGTTGGTGGTTGGTGGAAAGAGACCTGGGCAGCAGCCGGTGCCTCCCTCAGGAGGACTCAGACCTGCCTTTCTGGGGGTGTCTGCCTGGAGATGGAGCAGAATTGGAGCACCAAACCCCTGCTTGGCTTGGCTAGGGATGAATCAGTGCTGTGCTGCATTGCTGGCAAATGCCACGTGGTGAGGCAAGGACCTGTGTTTTGAGCCCTCCGTCTTGGGATTGGAGCAGATTCTGTGAAATTTGGGTTCCTTGGCTGATGAAGGAGAGGCCTGCAGTGTGGTTTGGCCATGGTGGGAGGATGAGTGCCTGTGTGCACAGCAGAGTGAAGTCAGCAGGAAGCATCACTGGAGTCCAGGTGTAAGGTGCTGATCGATGGCTGTAGGAACAGTTTTTGGCTTGGACATGGAACACACCCATCTCCTGTGATGACCTCGAGCAAGCTTGGTGTGCACTCCCCTTCCTAAACAGTGACTGCCAGCCCGGGCAAGGTGCTGTGAATGCAGAGTGGGAGAGAAACAAAACAGGGATTAGTCACTGACACAAGTAAAAGGGTGTTTTTCTAATGCCATCAATATTTCTGTTTGCAGGAGAACTCCGACACATTACCAAGTTGAAACCTTGGAGTCTTTTTGATGTGCTTGTGGAGAAGTATGGTTGGCCTCATGAAGATGCTGCACAGTTTACAGATTTCCTGATCCCCATGCTAGAAATGGTCCCAGAGAAACGTGCTTCAGCTGGAGAATGCCTTAGGCATCCGTGGCTGAATTCTTAGCAGAATCTTCCAGCTGTTAAAAAAAAAAAAAAAAAAAAAAAAAAAGCCAGCAACCACTTTCCAATGCGTTGGACCTAAATGGTGACTGTCACAAAATCTTTAGCAGGATCACACGTGAGCTGGCTTCAATCCTCAGACCTTTATTTTGCTTGAGGTACTGTTTGACATTTTGCTTTTTGTGCACTGTGTTCTTGGGGAAGGGTAGTCTTTTTGTCCTCAGCTAGTAGTTTACTCACCCACTTTCTTCAGAAAACACTTAACGTGTCTTTAAGATTGTTTCTTGTGTTGTGTGACATTCAGATGTCAGATTTTTGAACAAAAGAAACTTCCCCCCATGTGTTTTGGCAAGTTTTGTAACTATTTATGAAAAAAAAAATATTTTAGCTGATGCATATTATATAATTTACGAGTGTAAGAAATTTATCAAGTCAGAACTGAGTTACGGCAAGGAATTGTACAATTTTATCTTCTGGCAAAGGGATGTCATTCTTGTATTATAGTGTATGTAAATGCACCCTGTAAATGTTTATTTCCATTTAAATATGGGACTGGGGACTCAATTTCAGAGTAAAGCGACTAAGTTTTAGAGAGCTTTATAGCAAACCAATTGCATGTAGTGGACTTTAAACTGCTTTAAGGAATTGTGTAAACTTTCTATTCTGTAGCAGTTCCTGTTCATTGGGTTTTAAACAAAGTGGCTCTGGTTTACAGGATTTCATTCCCCAAACGGCACTTTAAAGGAAGGCTAGACTTCTTTCTAATAAAGTATGCATTATCATTTAGCACTCCCTTTTAGAACTTTTGCCTATTTTAAGTGCTTTTAAGAAAAGAAAAATAGCAATTTCCCTTACAATGTGATAGTGAAGACATGGTACCATATGGTGTTGCCTTTTTATAAGCACTGTAAGTTGTACTATACCTTAAGAAAAAGAAAAAAAATTAAAATTAGAGCATGAGAACCACTCTCTGTGTAGAATTACTGATCTTTTATAATAAAAGTGTGTGCTTGGCATCAGTTAAGGAAGGATATAGCTGCAGATATGTACAGTGCAGTGGGTAAAATAATCCAAGAAGCAAGATCATGCTCATTCCATTCATAGCTTTACATGTTTCTAAAACAAATTGCACTAGCTTTATTCTTTCCCATCCATAGACATACGACTGCCCATCGTAAGTTGCACGCAACAATTATGTGTTTCCTAGGAAAAAAGCTGCATAGGCTGAAGCTTATAGGCAATACAGATTTTAGAATGTACAGTACGGAGGTGTGTTTGGGCCTCTTTTAGAAGTCAGTGGGATGAATGTAAGCTTACTCCTGATCTTCATGTAACTACAGTGCCACTTTTTTCTTGACTTTGTCCATATAAAATTTATTCACATGCCTTTGCAATAACTAGATTGTGAGAAGATAGCCCCATGCTGTAACAATAACCAGTTGTTTGAGGTGCTTGCAGTTGTCTAATTAAAGTGTTTTGTTTTTTCAGACAGTGTTGCTGGTCATTGGAATCTTTGCCTAGCCACGACTCAGCTGTGGGGGTGCTGGAGGGGTGGGAGGTGGGGGCTGGCCTGTCCTGGCCAGAGAAAGGAGTTTCCCATGATCATTTATGGAATACATCACCTGGTGTGGGTCAGAGCAGCCCCACAAGCCCTGTGGCAGCAGGGGCTGTGGCTAGGAGTGGTTTGCTGGTGAAATGTGACCAAAAAAAAAGCGTCTTTCCTACCAGCTGTGTCCTGTTAACAAGGGAACGATTGTGCTGTGCCGAGCTGGGGCAGCCACTCCTGCAGAGACTGCCAAGGCACCACAGAGTGAAACTCCCTTGTCCATGGCCAGTGCTGAGGCCCCTGCAGCAGTTGGGTTTCAGGACCGAGTCCCTTCACCCTCATCCTGGAACTGCTCTTTGTGGCTGCAAGGACGACGCTGCTCAGGACGCTGCCACAATGGAGGTAAAAGTTACATTCAGCTTCACACCCAGCCCAGCTCTGCAGTGCCTGGTTACAAATGCATTCCTGGCTACACAGCAAATGCTGGCACTGGAATGAAGTGCCAGGGGCAGCCCAAGGCTGGCACAGCTCTGCCTCTGCCCAGCCTTGGTGCTGCAGCAGCACTGGGAGCCCTGCCCAGGCCTTGTGCTGTTGTGCTCCCCAGTGCAGCAGCTCCCTGAACTGCACTCACCTTGCCAAGCACAGCTGGGTAAGGTTCTCTTGTGTTTGAAATGGTTTTGTTGCTGGAGGTATGGAAGAGAGGTAACCAGATCTGGGTGCTGGGCTAGACAGGATGATGCACATCAGAATCAGTGTCTGAGCAACTGCACAGAGGGTGCATTGGTTTTTTTTTGCTGTTTCTGAGAGCCTTATGCTGTCCTACACTACACATGCTAGTGTAAAATGTGAACTTGTGTGCATGCTGCAGAGCCAGCCGGTGTTCAGGAAAGCATTTCTAGTGTGTGATTTTAACTAGCAAGATTCTTCTGTAGTTAGAAGCAAATTAGAATTTACAGTGGTCCCCTTTTTACATTTTAAAAATAACTAACTCTTTTTTTAGTGGGCAGGAGCAGCCACTTTCCCTCCTGTGCCATTTCAGCGTTCCTCACTCCCAGGTTCTGCTCTCTGCTCTGAGCTGGAGCCACTGAGCAGCTCCTGCTGTGTGAGCAGCACTGAGAGCAGCTCCTGCTGCGATGGAGGGGCAGCCTCACCCAGACAGAGCGGCTGCACTGAGGAGCACAACAGCACCATCTCAGTGCCGCTGGCAGCTGCAGGAATCCATCACTTCCCTCAGGGAAACCCGAGTGCCACAGCTCCTCCCAGCAGGAGGGTCCTGCCGTGGGCAGGTGCTGCCCTGCTCTGTGACCGAGGTCACCTCTAGCACAAAAATGCCCATCAGTGCCCCTGCTGACCCTCGTGGTAAACTGACCCAGGACTCTGCTGTGCTCGGGGAGATCATTCCTCAACCTCTGAGTGGAGCAGGGGAAAGAATCCCCCTCCTCCGGGCTGTTCCACATCTGTCTGTACTACACAGTGAAGCCACAGCTGGAACCTGCAGAGAAGTGAAGAGCCTCACAGGGAGCAGGGAGATCAGAGACTTAAGGCCACTTTCCTGCTGATACAGCACCCTTTCAGGACAAGTAGGTAAAACTGACATAATTGTGATTTATTAACATGAATTAAAATGCCCAACCAGTGCTGCAATGTGACAGTATATTAAAAAAAATTAAAGATCATATACTGTACTACTTTCACAAAGATCACACTTTTTTTTGCAAAAGACTTATTATATACAATACTATATCAAATGAAAGAAGCTTTAAGCAACTTTACAAGCGAAAGAAATACAGTATTTACAGCACTCGTCTGAGACATTAGAAACAGTCTATACATTAAATTACAATTTCTGCAAATAACTGATGAAACAAAAAGCCATGTCCACACCAAAACTATAAAAATCTGTATTGCATTGTTTCCTATCTCTATGCACACAAAAAACTGTTGACAGAAAATGGAAAAAAAAATTGTTAGTGCCATCACTTAGCCTGTGTACTTATTTAATTACATATGTATAAAAGTAATATAGAAAACTTTCACTAAATGAATTTAACTGCAACAATAAAATTTTAAACATTATGCAGCATCAAAGCTACTGCCAGAAAAAACAGCTGGAATGTCCACTTACAAAATAAAAAGAAATACCTAATACTGGCTTAACAGCACGTTTTCAGGAATTTTAAAAAGCAAAAAATGGAAAGGATACAATGGAAGAGCACTGGTGTTTGCTTTTATACAAAGTATCATGTACAAGCTTTAAAAAGTACCTTGAATAGGTACATATTAAATATACACAGTTTATATTACAGAACATTTTAAAAATGTTTATAACTAAAGGGATCTGTTTTAATGCCACCCCGAGCCATGGTAATTGTTCTGGAAGGTGGGTGGCACCTGTGCTCTGTGGATGGGGATCTGTCCTGGCACGGGCGAGGCCTGCTGCTGGCCCTGCACTCCGTGGGGCAGGCTCACGGAGCCGGGGTGCGGGCAGAAGCCGGAAGCAGTGGGTGTTGCAATACTGTTTGGTCCTTGAGGTTGGATGTGAGGACCCTGACCAGGGAGTGGGCAATGAGGTCCTGTGCCAGCAGGCTGATGTTGAGGTCCAGGTCCTAACGTTGTGTGATGTGGGGCTTGAGAGGAGTAGGAGGAGACGCTCGTGTGGGCATTGGAAGGGAAATGGGGGGGTCCTTGGTGAGAGGGGTGGTGTAACCCTTGTGCTGATGAGGGGTGGTGCCCCGAGCCCATGACGCCGGAGGGAGGGGGCGGCGGGGGAGGCGGTGCCGAGTTTACAACGTGCTGGTGTTGTGCTTGCAAACCTTGGTGTCCCGTCGAGGCATGGGGAGGTTGGTGGTGGGGGAGAGGACCCGGTGGCGGAGGTGGCGGTGGCAAATGGTGACCAGCAGCTTGAGAGTGAATGTGCGATCCAGGAGCCACTGCCATGGCATGAACCGGACCGACAACATGTGCTACAGAGTGCTGCTGATGAGTACTTTGCTGCTGGACAAGGTGGGGTCCTGGAGCGGGTGGTGGTGGAGGAGGAGGAGGAGCAGCAGATGCCGATGCCTGGTGATGAATACTGGGGTTCTGAGAGGACAAAAAATGCCCTGCAGCTACGTGGTGGCCCGGCACCGTTTGCTGACCTGCAGTGCCAGGAAGTGCTTGATTTGGTCCAGATGAAAACACAGTCTGTTGGGGTATGCTGCCCTTCAGCTGGCTGTAGCTCTGGAAGTTTCCAGAGGGCTGCTGGCTTTGATAGTAAGTGGAAGAAGGGGGCGGAGGGGGTGGGGGAGGCGGCGCATTGCTGTTCAAATTTTGTTGGTTAAACTGGCTGTAGGAAGCTGAAGATTGTCCTGATGATGTCTGAGGGAAGAGGGGGCCGCCAGCCTGCGCCTGGTTACTGGGCTGGAGGGCCGGCGCCGCCGGGTAGAAGTTCCTGTGTGTTTCCCTCTGGGGCGTCCCAACTTGAGGTGACTGCGGGTGATGAGGTCTGTATGGAGATCCCAGCTGCTGTGAGTGAGGCTTTGGTGAAAGGTAACCGTGCTGCACAGGCGCGTGGGGTGTGGAGGACTTGGGGGGATTTTCTACGTGAGGCGAAGGGGGGCAATGCAGCTTCAAAGGTGCGGAAGGCAACTTCTGTGAATGTGAAAGTTGCTCAGCAGAGCCGCGCAGATGTGACTGAGATGGATGAGTTTTTGAAAGTGCTTGGACGTTGTTTGTCAGCGGTTTCTGCTGCAGCTCAGGTTTGGGAGGATTCGCACTTTCAGTCTCGGGTGCAGCAGCTGCAGTTTCCCAGTGCGAATCGGGTTTGGAGGGTGTTTTCCCAAGAGGCTGTGCTGAAACTACAGGACTCGGTGAAGAGGGCTGGAATGGAAAGAAAGGCAGTCAGTGCTCAATGTCTGAAATGTTCAACCATGCGTGCAGTGAACAAAAAAGAACATCTCAGAACACTCTCCTCCCCAGATTGTGAAAAGAAGTGCTAAGGTGAAGGATATATATTTGGTGCAAGAAAAACATCAGTAACAGAGTAAGCTTGAGAAGGTACTATTTTTATCAAGTACGTATCAATAACTCTTCCAAGTCAAAGACTACTGAAGTGTATTTAAAGTTGTAACAGAAATATGAACCATTAGGCCAAAGTCTGAATCCATTCTTTGTTAAAAGTGGTATATTTCTAAATCTGAAAGAAGTAATTCCAGAGAAGACTACTTACAGGAATAAAGCAATTTTTAGAGTGACTTAATGTTTTAAAGCTGAGGTAGTGAAGGCAAACAGACTAAACATGACAACCTGAATCACTTCACTACTCAACATCTTTCTCCATATTATCAGACTGCCAGACAATGCCAAACTCTTGCAGAGCAAGAGCAAGCTCCTGTTAAGGGTAAGTCACAGCACTGCTGTTGGTTCTGAGTGCCACTTCAGCGTTCACACCTCAGAACAGCACACATACAATCTCTTCTCTCATCCATAAACATGTAAACCTACTGAAAGCACAGCAAATAAACCCACTTTTTAGTGTATACAGACAAATATTCTTGCAAATATCTACCTATGCTGAATTACTGCACAGATAGATGAACATATGTGTATGTCACCAAAGTAGTAAATCCTACAATTAACATTGTTAAAGGTGAATCAGAGCTGGATGGAGCTATTCCTATGCATGTTGTGCAAACACCTTGCATTACCTTGCTTGCTTTTGATGGACTCTTACAAGTCCTTTGGGAAGTATCTGGGGACGGACATTCAGAAGTTGGCTCTGGATTTTCAGAATCAGGTTCTACAGAGACAAAGCAGACAAAAATATCAAAGCAGGAAAATTAACTCTTTTGCAGAAATCACTAAGCACTTTATATTTGACTTTAAAAGAGCTATTAAAGCTGTTTTTAGACCATTGAATATCTCAAGTGTCATACAAGGTCATCTGCTTACTGACCTTCTGTAAT